CTATTTAAATAACACCTTAGTCTTCTCCTCCATCTGCCTCCTTCTTTTCCTTTGTTCCCCCCCTCTTCCTCCTGAAATTCTTAACCCCCAATCCTTTTTTTTTCCTTTTTTAAATATTTCCTAGAAAAAAACTGGGTGCCTTTTTTACATGGGGGGGGCGAAAAAGGGGCCCCGGGGGGCTGCTTTCCCCCTGCCCCCCAGCCATGATAGGAGAATCGGGCGCCTTTGCCACACTGGCCAGTGATAGCAGGAAGTAGGGGTGGAGCCAGCGATGGGAGCTGGGCAGGGGCGGCTGCAGCTGTGGGTCGCCGCTGCCCGGGCCTAACGCCTCGGCCAGAGGCATTAGGCCTGGGCAGGGGCGGTGCCAGCGATCACGGGGCGGCTGCAGCTGGGGGGGTCCCCTGCCCAGGCCTAACGCCTGGGCCAGAGGCATTAGGCCTGGGCAGGGGCAGTGCCAGCGATCATGGGGAGCAGGGGCAGAGTCGCCGATGGTGGGAGCTTGGGGTCCCCTGCCCAGGCCTAATGCCTTGGCCACAGGCGTTAGGCCTGGGAAGGGGTGGAGCAGGAGATCCCTTGGAGAGCTGTGGGTCCCCTGCCCAGGCCTAATGCCTGGGTGAGAGGCATTCGGGTGGAGCGGTCAATCGCAGGGAGCAGGGGCCGAGTTGGCGATGGTGGGGAGCTGGGGGTCCCTTGCCCAGGCCTAATGCCTTGGCCAGAGGTGTTAGGCCTGAGCATGGGCAGAGCCAGCGATCGTGAGCAGGGGCGGCGTGGGCGATCGTAGGGAGCTGGGGGTCCCCTGCCCACCCTGATCCGGGACACCCTTCAGGGCAAACCAGCTGGCTCCCACCCGTGCACCAGGCTTCTATCCTATATAATAAAAGGGTAATGTGCACATGCAATTTTTTTTTCAAATATATTTTATTGATTTTTTACAGAGAGGAAGGGAGAGGGATAGAGAGTTAGAAACATCGATCAGGTGCCTCCTGCACACCCCCTACTGGGGATGTGTACGCAACCAGAGTACATGTCCTTGACGGGAATCAAACCTGGGACCCTTCAGTCCGCAGGCCGACGCTCTATCCACTGAGCCAAACCCGTTAGGGCGGTAATGTGCAAATTGACCCTAACAGCAGAACGACTGGGAATGACTGGTCACTATGACACACACTGACCACCAGGGGGCAGATGCTCAATGCAGGAGCTGCCCCCTGGTAGTCAGTGCACTCCCACAGGGGGAGCTCTGCTCAGCCACAAGCCAGGCTGACGGCATCACAGCGGCGATGGTGGGAGCCTCTCCTGCCTCCTCAGCAGCTCTGTGGATGTTCAACTGCAGCTTCGGCCCGCTGGCAAGTGGACGTCCCCCAAGGGATGTCTGATTGCCAGCTTAGGCACAATCCCCCGGGGAGCAGGCCTAAGCCAGCAGGTGGACATCCCTCGAGGGGTCCCAGACTGCGAGAGGGCACAGGCTGGGCTGAGGGACCCCCGAGTGCACAAATTTTTGTGCACCGGGCCTCTAGTATATATATATTAAGAGAGAGAATATTTACAGTCATTTGCCACATAATGATATTTCTGTCAATGACAGATTGCATATATGACGATGGTCCCATAAGATTATAATGGAGCTGAAAAATTCTTATTGCCTACTGATGCTGTAGCCATCATAATGTTGTAATACAGTGTGTTGCTCATGTGTTTGTGGTGATGCTGGCATAAACAGACCTACTGTGCTACCTGTCATATAAAAGTATCGCACAAAAGTATAGAATATAATACTTGATAATGATAATAAAATGACTGTATTACTGGTTTGTGTATTTGCTGTACTTTTGATTGTCATTTTAGAGTGTACTCTTTCTACTTATAAAAAAAAAGTTTGGTATAAAACAGTATGCTGTATTAAGCCAGCAGCAGCCAGCCTCATACACCTCGTGTTTACTATGTTTGATTGCATCATTTTCTCATGTGCTCAACTTAATCTCATGTTGTTTTGTATGGTAACATATACTGTACAGGCTTGTAGCCTAGGTGTGTAGTAAGTTAGACTATCTAGGTTTGTGTAGTGCACAAAATTGCCTATTGATGCATTTCTCAGAATGTACCCTAGTTGTTAAGTGGTGTATGGCTGTATTTTAAGGAATTGGCTCACATGAGTATGGGGGCTGGCAAATCTGAAATGTGCAGGGCAGGCCAGCAGGTTGGGGATTCAGGGAAGTGCTGATGTTGCAGCTTGAATCTGAAGGCAGCCTGGAGGCAGAATTCTTTCTTCCTTGGGGTCCTGTATTTTCTCTTAAGGTCTTTAACTGATTGAATAAGGCCCACCCATGTTATAGAAGATAATCTGCTTTACTAAGTCTATGGATTTAAACGTTATTCATATTTTAAAAAAAGTCTTCATCTAAATTGGAGTTTGACCCTAAGACATAGCCTAGCCAAGCTGACACATAAAATTAACCATCACACAGACAGTTGTTATCATATGCTTCCTAGTAATAGATTGTTTCATTATTGAACTTATCTATAAACATCAGATTTTCAGGGGTTTTTTTCACCTTCTTATTTTGTGGAGAAATAAAAAGCTTGTGTTCTTTTTACAATGGAAAGTGCCTGTGGTATGTCCAAGTCGTGCTAGGTACCAGGAATGCAGAGGTAAGTTTTAAGACATGGTACCTACCTTCAATGAATACCTTAGTTAACTGATTATAAATACCTTTGGTTTTCATAGTAGTCTTTGGGAATTTCATATATGGAAAGAAGAGAGAACAAAAAGAACCACCACAAATCTTTCACTGTGTTACCTCCACGTGAACTTGATGTGAATCTTTTCCAGGTTACTTCTGTTTTGGAATATGTGTGGGTCATCACTCTGCTTCTCGAAGATAAGGTTCATGCCAACTAGGGTATCCGGATGCTGTGAGTGAGGCACACAGACCCAGTATAATTTCTAACTCGAGCCTAAGTGGAAATGCTTCAGTCCTTCCGGAGAGCATACTGATGATAAAAGACTACATAGTTCTCTGCTCACTGACGTAGGACAGAGTGATACTGGGTTCTTCTGGGGTGGACACCTTGAAATCTTTTTTTTTTTTGGAATAAAGACTTTCTTAGATAAAAGGCTTCAAGAGTGCTAAGATTTGTAATATGTAGACGTGAGCTATCTGGAAGGAAAGTAGGGCTACCTGAGATTCAAGGTGTGCTTTTGGATTGCTAACCTGCTTGCGCTAAATGTTGAGTAAAGACTATATTGTTCCCAAGTGAGTTTTACCTAGTCCACCCAAACCGCTTTAGTTTTATGGTTAGCCTGACTACGACGTATCTTTCTAGTTCATGAAATGACCAACTTCAGAATTCCTATGCCTCATTCACACACAGACTTAAGTTACAGGACTCTTAAAGAGAAAAATCATGAGTGTCTGAATGTTTTTGAATAAAATTATATTATCGGATTCTCTCTCAAGCACAGTTATCTCCAATGTGGGTGCCTGAGGTGGGCCATTGGGTGCAAGAGGAAGTGATTAGAATTTCTATTTAGATTACATTTTAAAACAACCAGTTCTGTTTTGTCTAGGTTTTATAATAAACATAATTGTTATGCTGATATTAGTATAGAAACAAATAAATATGTGTTGAGTGAGAGTGTTTGCTAAAAAAATACTGAGCTGAAAAGGTATGTAAGAAATGTTTGGTGATCTCTGCTGTAAGCATCCTCAAGTGAGGGACTTCGCCCAGAATTTGAGAAGTGCGTCCCACTAGAGGGCGATGTGTGCTCAGGGCAGAGAGTCCTGGATACTCTAGTCATAAACACACTTCATTGGAAGGAATGTTAGTGTTGCCCATTTAGGAGTAATTATATTGCATGTTGACTCAACACCAGAAAGATCTGATCTGAGTGAGTGGTTGCTTTGTGATTACTATGCTGTTTAATGAATAAGACAAAAAACTACATTTTAACCTGTAAGTCAAACTGGTCATCTTTTCTTAATAATTGGTCAGAAAGAATAACTGGATGGAGCCTTCTGAAACATTTAACATGAAATTATTTTTTACAATATGACTTTAACATCTACTTGTGTGCATGTGTGTGTGTTTGTGAACATATGTATGTGTATTAGTATGTATGTGAATGGCAATGTTGCATCTCTGGCTACTCACCACAGGGTTTGCTGTTTTCTTGACTTCTGAGTCACATT